GGCGTGTGTACCCCGCACCCCAGTGCATGCCAGGCCCTGCGAGGAGAGGAGAATCCACAGGCGCCGCTCACGGCGCCAGAATGCGGCACGGACTGAACACAGGTGTTGCCCTGCCTCATGCTATTTACCCGCACCAGTGCTCTTCCCACCAGGGGCTTGCTTGCCTCCCTTCCCAAGAGGCACGAAAGTCCCCCAAAGCCTCCCAAGCACCTGTGCAGCCATGAGAACTAGAGTTGAGATTGGCTCCCACTCCAAAGGCTCTCCAGTCACCCCCTCAGGGCATCCCCCCATTGTCCTTGCTTCACCTTGAGGGACAGGGGCTAAATAAGTGGGGTCTGAGAAAGAGGATCCTTATCACCAGACTCACCAAGGGAAAGAGGCAACCCAGAACAGACACTGGATCTCAAGGTGCCATGCCGACCACACCGGTCCTTAGTGCCTCAGTTTCCCTCTGTGCCCACCTTTCATACTAATGCCTGCTCTGTGCAGGAGAGGGGAATTTGGTGCCTGTCAGCCAGGGCCGGACCCTGGTTGATCAATAGGAGATAACTGGGATGCCAGCCCCCAGGAGAGAGGAAGGTCACTGCCTCCTCCCTGAGCCCACATTGTCCCTACACATAAGAAGGGAGAGGGGACTGCTTTCCTTGTTTCCTGCTCTCCCATCCCCAGCACTCAGGCTTGTCTGAACAGAGATGCCGTGAAGCCCAAACATTTATGACTGTGCTCCCTAGCTGGTGAGGTGTGTCCCAGGCTGAGATGCCAACAGCGCCTTTTAAGCTAAGGGTGAGGGTCAAAGGAGGGTGGGCAGAGGGGCCTGCCTTGGGCTCTTTTTCATACTGCTTCCAGGTTGCAAAAATGAGACAGAGAGAGGTGGCATGAAGGTTGAGGAGGCTGGAGATTGGAGTCCCACTGCCCTCAGCCCCATCCCCATTCCTGTGATGTCTAGCATATCCAACTCCCCAAGCTTCTCCAAGAAACCAGGGGGACTCCAAGCCCACAGCCTTCTTCATAACAACCAGGCTTTTTTTTTTTTTTTCTTTGTTTTAGAAGACAAGGTTTTGCCCTGTGCCCAAGCTGGAGTGTAGTGGCACAATCAAGGCTCACTGCAGTCTCTAATTCCTCAGCTCAAATGAAACTCCCCCCTCGGGCTCCAAGTAGCTAAGACCACCACGCCCAGCTAATTTTTTTTTTTTGGTAGAGACTGGTCTCGATACATTGCCCAGGTTGGTCTTGAACTCCTGGCCTCAAGCGATCCTCCTGGAATAGGGAACTATATTTAATGCATTTTATATATTATAACTCCTCTAATCCTCAAAAAGCTAAATGAGGTAGATATGATCACCCTCAATTTACAGATAAGGCAAGAGGGAAGTTAAATCATTTGCTCAAGGTCATACAACCAGCAAGTGGCAGAACTGGGATTCAAACCCAGGCAGTCTAGGGTCTGAAAAAAAAAAAAATCCCTGCACTTAACCATGAGAGCACGTCACCTGCTTTGAGGAATGATACCCTGTTCTTTCATCTAGCTAAGTGTTCCGTGACCAAGCCTCAGTTTTTCCCTCTATAGCAGCCCATGGAACCTTCAGGATTGAATCATTATCAGTGCCCCTCATCCAAGTAGGACAAGGATAGAGGGGAGAATGGCCAGAAATGCCTGGTGTCCCCTGGGCTCTGGGCCTCCTGCCCCAGCGCCCCTGCTCAAATTCACTCCCTGGAATAGTTCTCCTTCCTGGGCTGGAACCTGCACATGTGGGTGAGAGGACCTCATGAGCCCCCACTTAGTCTGGGCAGCTGTACCCTCCAAACCAGGCCCTGAGGCTGGGCAAAGAAGACACAGCTGTTGGGCATCTCTGAAGGGGGTCTCAGCTGCCAGGGGTGTGGAGAAAGGCCATTGTGAGTCCTGCCAACTCCCGCCACTGCCCATGGGGGCCGTTCTTTCCCAGCTTGGGTTAGTGTGGTAGGAGCCTCTGTGCTGGCTTGTTTGGGATCTCGCTAGCTAGTGCGGCCTGCACACTGAGGACTCCCACAGAACTGGTGACCCCCAGGCTGGGCCTGGCTGCCTGGGGGGGCCATCATGTGCAGTAGCTGACCCCCTCTCTTCCTCCATTCCCAGCCCCCAAAACTTGCTGGCCACAGCTGCAGCACTAAGGAAGCACAGGAAGTCCTGAGCAGCCAGCTGAGCCCCCTCCCCCCCCACCTCCCACCCCAACCTCAAGCTGACCCCAGAGGCCGCGCGGGTGGGGCAGAGGGGCGGAGCCTGAGCATTAACAACTGGAAAAGTATGAAGAATATTGCTGCCAGTCCCCAGTTCTGAGACAAGGACAGGGCAGACAACGGGGTAGCAGCAGGGTGGAGAGAGAGTTACAGACTGGCAGAGAAACAAGGAGAGAGGGAGAATCAGACACCGCAAGACAGAGCAAGAGAGATAGAGTTAGAGAGAAATTCCAAGTCAAAAATACACATCACTCATGCAGACACTTGCCAGCATACGGCCTCTTAAGGAAAGCTTCCAAGTTCGGACAGGAGGGCAGAGGTGAAAAAGGGACCAGACTCAAGGTGGGAGGCACGAGTACCCAGCTGGGGGCAACTGAGGGCCCAGGCAAATGACCCAGAGCAGGGGCAGCTAGACTCAGGGAGGCTTTAGGGTAGGATGAGAGTTGCTCCTCCCAAGACACCCCCCTTCCCCAGCAGCCAGGATACTCCCAGCTGCTAGGAGTCACAGGACACTGCTTTGGGCCCATGACTCGGCCCTCTAGAACCCCCTTGCACCCACTGGCTTTGCTCTTGTTTCTCTATCCCTCCAAAAGGAAAAAAAAAAAAGTCCATTCCCACACAGTGGCTGAGCCTGGAGAAAGGAGGCAGGAGAAAGCTAGAGGGGAAAAGTCCATGATCGTGTACATCTAGGTGTGTGCCTGGCTGCACAGGCTACTGTGCGTGCATCTGGGGTGGTCTAGACATGACTGTTAGTGCAGCTGTGTGGCCCCGGGTCTTGTGAACTTGTTCTGCACCTGAGTTCATGGGACTGTGTGCGAATCAGTGCACCTGTGTCTGCAGGTCCCACAGTCAATCAATTAACAAGTTATTTACAGAGCAGCCCCTGTGCTAGGCTCTGGGTGAGATCCAGAGCTCTTCAAGTGATTCTCCCAGGTCTGAAGGAACTCACTGTTTGGTAGGGTGGTATGACAAGCGACAGAGCCTGGGAACACGTTTTCAAGAATGCATGCGTTGCACCACTATGCAGGAAAACCTCCTCATACAGCCAAATTTCATTTTCTTGGGAGCAGGGATTTTGTTGTCTACAAAATCTCAGAGCTCCACAGTGAGTCCAGGAAAATACTTGTTGCTAAGTTGTGTATACATGTGTTGATGTGTAACTGTGTTTGCATCTGACTGAGTGACAGCGACTGTCACGGTGGGCGATGATGTCTGTGTGACTGGGCTCATGCGAGCACGTGTGTGCCTGTGAGTGACAGGGTCTTTTGTAATTGTGCAGCTGTGTGCAATTGCGCTGTGTGCATGCATGCATGCGATAGTGACTTTTTCTGTGTAGGTGACAGCGACTCCTCCTTGCCCGTGACAGTATCTCTGTGTGACCCTGTGCATGGGTATGTGCACGGGTTGGTCTCCATGCTCCTGGTCTCCCGTGGGTGTGTCCCGCCCCTCTGAGCTCCATGGTGCAGCAGCCTGCCTCTTCCCTTGTCCCCATGTGGGTGTGTCCAGCAGCTCCTGTCCTTGAGTCTGCCTGGGTGTCCCTGGTTATGCCTGTGGCTGTCCGTGTGGACATGTCTCTGTGTCTATGTGTCACCTTTGCTTCCCCCCATCTTGGACAACAGTCCCTTCATCCCCTCCCCCTCCTGGGGCCAGAGCCAGCAATGAGGGGCAGGCTTCCATCTCACAGGCTTTCCTTCTGCATCCCCCACCCCCACCCCTGGAATGGTGGCTCTCTCCATTGCCCCGGACATCCCCCCCGGGCCTTTCTTTCACACTGGACAAGGGAGGGCCCCGGGCGAGAAGGGACACCAGAGACACGTTGCAAGGGGGGGGACGAGGGGGGGCCGGCATACACACAGCACAGGTCCAGTCCTCCCTCTCTTCCCAACCAGCGACTCTCCTAATCACCCAGGAACCATCAAGTACGCCCCCTCCACACACATACCACCCCCCCAACAGCCGCGTTTTTGCAATTAGGAATGTTGCAACCAGAAAGCCATGCTCAATTGGGAAGGCGGGTGGAGGGAAGGGGACTTCCCTCTCCCAGGGCCCGGGCCTGGGCCCGTGCAAGCCCACCCTCCCCGCCCCCCACCGCAC